CCGTGGTTGCACAAACAAGATTAGATGCGGCATGTTTATCTGTGAATGAAGAAGTAAATGCGATTCACCGGACGACTGGAACGACAAGTTATACACGAAGAAAGAAAGAAATTCGATGTTACAACTGTGAATCCTTAAATCACTTTGCACATGAATGTACCTCTTTATGCAAAAAATGCTTGCATAAACATGCTGCAAAAGACAGCTACAAACGTCAAAGAAACCAGGAAAACTTAAATGGGACGAGTTCGCATTAGGTATCTTTACAAGAACTCGTCCCGAAACAAAACTACCTACTATTGACTTGGTAATAAACGGAAGAAAAGCTACAGCGCTTGTGGATACTGGTTTTTCGCAATCAATCATCACCAAGAAGTTACTGCCGCCTGACTATAAAGTGATTCGTGTAGTAAATGTTGCAACAATGGGCGGAATAATTCGATGCGAAGAAGTTAGTGCTAAAATATGCCACCCAACGAACAGGTGCTTGGTGGATGTGGTGGTTCTGAGTGTGAATGAAGTAATAAACAAATACGACATGATTATGGGTATGGACTTAATAAAGACGTGTGATGGACTACAAATTGGCACTGGAAAACTGAAATTGTGTAATTCTTTGATTGAGTTGTCATCGAAACTTCGTGTTGCGACAATTGGAACAAGCAAAGCTTATTTTGATGGCAAAAAGTGGATTGTAAGTTGGGAGTGGGAAAACGAACCTAAAATGAAAAATAGAACAAGTCAGTATAATGTAGCTGACCAACATTGTGAGGCGTTTAACAACGAAATAAATGAATGGATCAAAGAAGGTATACTCATCAAATATGACAATAAAATTATGGGAAAACCTAAAGGTCTACTACCGTTAATGTGTGTCATTCAAGATAACAAAAAGAAGATAAGACCTGTGCTTGATTATCGTGAGCTTAACACGTATGTAAAAGCCTCTACAAGATATGCTGATGTCATCAATGATGCAATGAGGGAGTGGAGACTCATGAGCAAAAACAGCAATGACTCGGTAGTGGATCTAAGAAGAGCATATTTACAAATTCATGTGCATAAAAGGCATTGGCCTTACCAGACGGTCATCTATAAAAATCAGCGATATGCACTTACACGTTTGGGCTTTGGTTTAAGTTTGGCACCAGTGATGATGAGCTCAATATTGCGGTATGTTCTCCAACAAGATTCTGCACTGGCAAAAACAACAAGAGGGTACATTGATGACACCCTTGCAACCAATGGAAATGGAAGAAAGCTGGTGATACATATGAAGAAATGGGGTCTTCATGCAAAAGCACCTGAATATTTTGGCGAAAACCCAGTTCGTGCACTAGGATTAGAAGTCACAGTAAATCCATTAACAAAGAAGATGTTTTGAAAGAGAGGACGCGAGCTTCCTATTATTAAATTTATGCTCACAAAGAGTGAATATTCTCATTAAGTGGTAATCTGATTGCTAATCTACCAGTTGCTGGATGTTTGAGACCGGCATGCAGCTATGTAAAAAGATGTACTAACGAGCAGGTTGGGATGAACCTATTACGAATAAGTATGTTATCGAAATGATGCAGGAAGTTGTAGATAAAGCCGTAAAGTGCGATCCGGCAAAAGGTGTATGGAATGTTAAACCAAATGCATCTCTGACTGTATGGTGCGACGCAAGTTCGCTGGCAAAAGGAGTTGTGATAATGCAAGGTGACAGAAAAATAGAAGATGCGACATGGCTCCGACCAAAGTCTGACGCAATGCATATCAATGTGGCCGAATTAGATGCATGTATTGAAGGTCTAAATATGGCATTGAAATGGAATCCAAGTGATGTCTCCATTAAAACTGATTCTCATAGTGTATTTAGTTGGTTAAATTCTGAATTGACTCGTGACAAACCTGTGAAATGTGCTGGGCAATGCGAAATGTTAATTCGAAGAAGACTTCAAATATTTGAAAAATTGATCGAGGATTATGTCATAAATGTAACTGTTACATGGGTACCAACAACTAAAAATATTGCAGATGAACTCACAAGAGTGCCAACAAAATGGATAAAAAACAAAGTTGCAACACAAGAATGTAATACCATTTACAAGTACGATAAACAGCAGATTCAAAAAATTCATTCACTAGCACACATGGGAGTTTCCAAGAGTATTAAGTTATGTATGCGCGCTGGTATCCACGTTACCAGAGACACAGTGAAACAGGTTGTCGCTGAATGCGATGAATGTAACTTGATTGACCCTTGTGTGATGTTGTGGGATAAAGGAAATCTTGCTGTTAGCAAAGTATGGGAAAGAGTAGCCTGCGATGTTACTCATGTTGATTCATCGCTATATCTCACTTGTATTGATTGCGGCCCAAGCAGATATACGTTATGGACACCATTAAGCAACGAAAGTGCAACTATGGTTGTTCAAGCGTTAGAAACAATATGGTCAACATTTGGACCTCCTTCTGAAGTTCTTCTAGATAACTCTAAGTCATTTAGATCTCAGCTTATGCAAACTATGGCTGCGAAATGGGAAATAAGGCTCATCTATCGAGCAGTTGAAAAACCATCAGGAAATGGAATAGTTGAAAGAGTTCATCGGACGGTAAAAAGAACAAATGCAAGAGTAAAATGTGGTATTCCCATGTCTGTATTTTTAATCAATAACGTTCTATCAAAACACGGCACACCTTTTGAAATATTTTGCCAACATCACAAACGAGTTCGAATTCCTGGAATCGATAAAATCGAATCAACACAAAAGTCGATGACAGAGTGTCGTGAATGGAAAGTTGGCGACATAGTGTGGGTGAAACCCAAGCATGTAACGCTGTGTACGCAACGATGGCTGAAAGGAAGTATAGTGGCATTGCATAATGATTTAACAGCTGAAGTCGATGTCAACGGACATACGTTACCATGACATTTTTCTCATCTGCAACATCGTTGTGCAGACACAAAAGAAGAAGATACAACAGATGATTATGATTCAACACTATTTAAACTTCCCGAAACGAACTCAAAACACATTGTCAATGATGATCCAAATCTTCAAATAATTCCTCCGGATAATGGTAAAAATGACAATAGTACAGGCAGCGATCAAAACTATTCAACAGATGGTAAAACAGAGTCACGGCCTGTTCAATTCACTCGCTATGGAAGGAGAGTACTTCCTAATCGGAAGTACAACGATTACGTATGAGCTCTTGTTGAGCTCAGGGGGATGTTGTGCATCATGTGCATCATTTGACAAAAGTCATAAGTTGTGATTTTTTATTATTATAACATTTTGTATAACGACCACTAATTGTTGACAAGAGTCACAAGTTTAATTTTTAAATACTATATATAGTGAACAAATTTGTTGTAAAAACGTTAAGATTGTTAATAAGTAATAAAAAAATTAAAAACAAAATGGCTTCTAAATGCGTTGAACAACATGAAGAACCACATTAACTCGTTTGCTAACAGCCGAACAAGAATCTTTTGGTAGCAATCGCACATTTATAAAAATAAAATTTGAATGGCATAACATTGACAATTAATTAAAATTCGAATAGTATATCTCTTTAAATGCATAACAAACAATATATCAATATAAAATTAAACAAATGTACCTTTTAGTAAGTTATAATATAGTCATAAAAGTGTTTTTGTTTACAAAAAACAATTATTACAACTATATTATTATTCAAAACCACAAGCGTAAAGTGCTACTTCTGTAACTTCTTTAACTGCCCTTTCACAAGAGGAAAGTACGAAGTTTCACACTGAGTGACCAAATATTTGTCAAAATTGTATGTAGAGATTTTGGAATGTAAACACTGGTTCTGATATTTTTTCCTTCTCCTAATTAGCTCTTTGATAGGCAGTACTTCTGTATTGAGAAATACCTTTTTCCGTGACCTTACAGCTGTGTCTCCGAACTGCGAGGTTTTCCTTATATCTTTAAATGTTTTAATGGCAAACTTCCTCGATTCTTCATCTGAGCTTGACAAAAGAGTTAAAATAAGGGATTTTGAGTAGGCAAAATAAGCACCATTTCGAATGTATTGTGTGGCAATATTTTGAACTTCATTATCTTATTTTTTAGCAGTTGCAATGTTACTAAGTGACCTGGGCCATCTACCACACTGTGTTTTACTTTGATTTCATACCACATGTGGAAGTATACTTGAGCTACCCATTTAACGATTAAATTAAACTTTCAAAGAACATCACCAGTAAAAGTGCGATCACTCATATAGAGGAAAATGAAAGCTTCTGCTGTGGTAAGCCATCTGCTGTGGCAAATATTTTCATACTTTGCTTTAGAAAGATTTATGTCCATCTTGCCAGTGGACAAACATTGTACCAACTTATAACAGAGAACTGCATCTGTCGACATTGTTTTGAGAACTTTTTCGGGAATTTCAATTAAAGGTTCCAGCTGTTCTATAGGTTCAAACGTTTCAAGTCTTTTTATGCTATTGACTATATATTAAGCTTTTCCAATAGGGCCAGTAAAACCATCCTTTGAATTAGTTGGGTCATCTTGGGTCAGTAAATTTTATATTAGCAATTTTGATATATAAACTATATGACATATAAAAGTAAATCTTGTTTGAAACTTATCTAAAAACGTTTGAATGAAAAAATTTAAACATTTTTAGGTTTGAATGAATCTTTACGCTGTTAAAACTCATTATAACATCGAAATAGAACTTGTTCATTACGGCGAGTGTATAAAAAAGGTTTAAGATTTTTTTTTTTTTGTTGCTTTAACTTTAATTTAAGAAAATTGAAAAAAACAGTAAACACAGTCATTTAAAAAACAGTTGATTGCTGCTTTTGATTTTTCTTAAAAAAACAGCTGTTTTACTGTTACTGTTCAGAAACCCTACTTGAAGCCTTGTTAGGAGTGAATTAGTAATAATATAATAAAAAACAAAAAAATTATAATAAATAATTGAACACAAAGATAAAATTAAATTTAATAATAAATTATTAGTTTTTTTTTGTTTAGATCATATAAACCATAAAATGGAGTTTGCTGTTGTTGGAGGTTTGTTTCTGGGAACTCTTTATGATTTGAAGAAGGTGTACAGTGTTTCTTTTAATATAAAACCAACAGTTTTCTCTAAAGGTTTAAAAAATGTTCTTTACCTAAATATGGTCAACAATAGTAACCTTAATGTAGGTAAAAGTTTGGGTATTTGGTTTCATGAAGATGGCTCAGGAAAGCTTGTAATAAGTGGTTATCACAACAACTGCATTGAAACACAACCTCTGATGTTAGGTCACTGGTCCAATATCAAAATATACCAAAGTTTTCGTGATAATTCATTTTGGTTTACTGTTAATGTGAATGGAGTTAATATTCATAAAAGTGAAAATATTGCACCTGAAGATTTTAAAAATGTGAAAGTTTATGCATCTAATTCTTGGGATAATGCACAAAATTGTTTGATTTCTGATCTTCTTATTTTTAATGGAAAACCTGGTAAGAAAAAATACAATTTAGTAAATAAATATTAATATTCAAAAAAATTCTATATTACTATTATATATTTCTCTCAAATAATATGCTCAATGTTATATTAATATTGGCTTTTGTTTTCATTGTTTATGTCTAGTCTAGCATCATTAGATGTGTACAGTCTAACATCTTTAAATGTAGTTATTAAATAAGTAAAATTAAAAATTTTTAAAACCCAATGCTTTTATATGTTATTAAAACAACTTTTGCAATCAACTTTTTCTTATATTACTTTTTTTTTATTTATTAACATTGTATGTATGTATGTGTAAAAAAAACTGTATGTATGTGTAAAAAAAACAAAAAAGTTCAGGAAGATGGGGGTCTCAAACCACAGAGATTGAAACAAAAAAAAACACAAAAAAAGATTTACGAAGTCAATGTCTTATCCAAATATACTAAACGCGCGTATAAACATGAAAACAATCAAGATACTTATTTATAAAATTTATTCTTTTTTCCATATGAAAAATAACCTTGATTAAAATTAACTATATTAATTGACTTATTACAAAACTAGTTATTGAATATTGTATTGTCATCAAGCAGAGTATGTATGCAAAATTTGAAGAAAATCTATTATCAGGAAGTGACTCAAAAACTGATTGCAAGATTTTATGTTAACAGACAAACAAACAGACAAAAAAACAAATAAACAAACAGACAGAGACAACGAGTTTATAAAAGCATTGGAAAAAGTATTACTTTTTTATTGATGCAATTTTATAAATTTTTATGAATTTCCATTGTATTTTGTACTCCCTTCACAATTGCCGCAATAAAACAACTCTTAACTTCAACATCATCAAGATTAATTGCTATTATGTAACTATCTACCATATTGTCTGTAATTTAAAAATTTTTGTTTAAAAAATAAATTTACTTTGTATTAAGTTAGTATGAACTCAATAAACACTTAAGAGATCAAAATTAGCACGTTGATTGCTAATTTTAGCATGTAAATTAATAACATTCATAGAGACCTTTTTAAAACCTTAGACCAGGATCACAGTAACTATTACAATTATAAATAGAGAGCCAAAATTTCTTTCAATCTTTTATGAATGAATTTTAAATTATTTCATATATTAAATTATTTAATAATAAAATATTTAATTTAATTTATTCAAAAAATTTTTCTTTGTCATATTTTATCCATGATTGTTCCTATAATCATTATTAGGACCATTAAGATAAATAGGAACTTCAAATAGTTTATTTTGCTTTATTTTATGAGTGAAAATTTGTTATTTTTCATATCCAGTTTGTGCAACTCAATTGAATTGAAAGTTTAATCAACTAGGAATTTAGGTTTTCCTGTATTGAACATTTTTTTTTTATTTAGCTTGTTTTTGTTAGAAAAAATTAGTTTAATATCTGCAATAGTTCTATAGAAACTTTTAATTTGTTTATTTTTTGCGCTTAAATAACTTTTTTTTTTTTTATATGGAATGGCTTTTTAATGTTGTACTTATTGTATTGATTTTTCTTGTAAATTTTCACCTGTAGTTTGTAAATGAAATTCAACTTGCAGTAATTAATGCAAAAGTGCATGTATAAATCATTTAGTTAGATTATCAATCAACTAAACTCAAAAATCATATTTTGTTGCAACAATTTTAAAACTGAATTTTTAAATGAATTTTATCAGTTTTAAAATCAAAATGACTGAGATAAATTTAAACTTATAAAAAACTTTTCATAATTGATTAAAAATTCTTTTTATAAGTTTTTTAAGTTTATTAAGTTAACTTAATTTTTGTTAAGTTTTTTTGTTTTAAGTTTCCATTATTACTTATTCATAATTTTGATAACTTATTTAATTCATAATTCATAACTTAGTTGTGAAAGAAAAAAAATTTACGTTGTATGCACCTTTACAAAGTTTACAAATTCACAATTTCATTTGATCCAGTAGGTAATGCAGGAGGTTCATTTATGCATAAATAATGTGAATTACAAATTCACTATTTAAAGTCCATTTATTTTAAGTCTACTTTTTTTGCTTATGCAACACAATGATCGCAAAAAGGGACCAACGGAGCCGTCCAGTTACGTAGACCTGGGAGATGTGAAAATAAAAACAGATTGAAGATGATGTCATTTAGGTAACAAAACATAAATTAATGTAAAGACTATTTAGTAGGAGAAGTAAAAGTTAGCATATCAGGAAGGGAGTAACCAAAACTCACACTCTAGTCATCTTTTAGCAAATGATAAAACAATGATCTATGAGTAAACAAGTCAATAAAAATCCGCTGGTTTATTAATGGTATCACAAACTCAACACTGCACTTCAAAGAACAGTTGAGGGTACCCTGTAACTGAAAGATCACTTACTTAGCTCACTTACTACCAGGCTTCATAAATCGACAGCCTTCAGTGCTTTGTTAAAAGATGCTTGTTCCAAGATCGATGCGAGTTGCCTCAAAATACCCTTCACAGTAACCACGAGATGGAGCAGCCATCACGTTATGCTGCACACCATGCTTTGACTGAAGGTTCCACTCATATACTTACGTGATACAGAAGGTGATGATTGGAAGAAAACCTTACCTACATATGAACAGTTCCTACTCTTTGAAGATGTTCCAGTGCTTAAATCTGTTAAAGAATTATCAGTTTTTTTATTTTCTGACACAGAAATCCGAACTGACATGTCACTGTGGAAAGTAATGGCACTCATCAACTTCATCAAGAAAGAAAGAAATAGTTATGTTACTCATGGAAACAATAAGTTATTATAAAAGTTCTTGGAGGACTTATTATCAGAACTAAATAAGAGATTTCCAGACAAAGGCCGTAAGTTACCCACATTTACACTAGGACATTACCTTCATCCATTTTTTTGTGGACATCTTCTTGATGTTGACAATGAAAATATTCATTGTCAAAATTTGATTGAAAACCATCCCGCAACCAAAGAATACTTTGAGAATTCTTTATTGTCTGTCTCAAGCTCCAGTTATAACAACGGTAGTAACAATTCTGTTGCTGATTATGCACAAGGTTGGGAGGAAAATGAGTACAATATTATTTTAGCAAAGTATAAGGGAGATACTAATTCCACAAGAAAAAGAAAATAAAAGTGAAAGTGATATAAGACATGAATCAGACTTATCTTTGCCAATATTAATAAAAGAAAATCTTCAACTACCAACGAAGGTACGGTAAAGGAAAAAATATCGAATGGGCCAAAGTATTGCAGAATATTAAAAAAAAATAACTAAATCTCTAAAACGCGATTGTACTTGTATTTTGTTAATAAAAAATTTAATTTTACAGTCACATTTGTTTTTTTGTTTTATTGAGAGTCTCGATTCGAGACCATGCGATACTAAATGATACTATTTATTATTGGGATTGTTTGGTATCGAAGCGATACTAATAGTATTGACATTGGAACATAAGCAATACCACATGATACGAGACTATCCTTTTTGGTATCGAGTGGTATCGAACCGATACTGATAGTATCAACATTAGTATATCAGCGATACCACGTGGTATGAGACCATTCTTCTCGGTATCAACTTATGCGATACCAATTATCTAGTGTTTATTATTTATTCTAAATTCCCAAACTAAAGTAATTGAATTTTTATCAACTAAGGTTGTATCACTATAATGGTTTAATAATAATGCAAAAAAAAAAACAGGCTTTAGCTTGACAAAATCAGAAAAAATATAAAAATTTTCAAAAACATTGACTTTCAAATTGAAATAAACATAAATTTAAAAATTGTGAATTTTCTTGGTGTCAAATTTAACTCCTGAAAATTTTTATTAAAATTTATAAAATTGTAATGATGAGTTGTTGTGTTTTTATATAAATTCAAGTCACCCAACCAATCCAAAAACAACTTCCTATTTCGATTAACAATAGACTAAATCAAACTCGTCTAAAGAAGATATTTTTAATTCTTCTAAATGTGTGTATGAAGGTGCTCTTAAAAACTTTGAAAAAAATTACAAATAAGCAAACTAGAAATAGAAATATAATTTGGTTCAACTCACCGTACAGCAAAAATGTTTCAACAAGTATTGAAAAAGTTTTTAAAAAAATTCAAATTTTTTTTCAAAACGCTTTACAAAAATTTTTTATTAGTTAAATATTTATTAAATTAATTAATTTCAAAATGCAGGCATAAAAATAATAACCTTTTAAAAAATTATAAAAACAAATGACCAAACCAAAACCTTTTAAAGAATTATAATATCCTAGTTCTTAAGAATTCTTTTCATAATTATTTTTTTAATTAAATGTAGTTTATGTAACTTCCTGGTTGCAAAATAACCACAGTTATTATAAAAGTAATTATAAAAATTCCTAACTTCCTGTGAAACATTTTTTCTATAATTTAAATTTTTTGATGTTTAGGCTTTCTGATAAACCTATAGAAGGAGAAAAAGCCTGTCAGAATAAAAAATTTGATAAGTGATTTTACTAATTTATGTATTATATAATTTTTTTATTTTTGTAGAGTATCTTGTTGATAATATCGTAACACCTTTAGTGAAAGGAAAAGTTGCTGCTTTGATACCAAAGCTAGATAAAGAATATTTAATTGTTTTTGATATTATTCCTGGACAATATTTGCTTGGTTTGCATAGTGTTATTCATTTCACAATTGGAGGTAATATGGAGAGATATGGTGATAGAAGTCCAGCTATCTGGTTTTCAGATGATGGTAAAGGACTACTTTTAATTGCTTCAGCGATTAGCAGTAACTTAAATAGGTTTTTTTACACCAGTTCAATCCATAATTATTCATGGTCCAACATTGATATATCTCAAAATTTACAACATGATGATTATGTTTACACAATCAGAATAAATGGAGAAGTTGTCTATTCTGTTATTAACTACCAACCTGAGTTTTTTAATAATATCAAAGTTTATGCTTCAAATCCATGGGACAAAGTTCAAGACGGGTCAATCAATAATTTTTTTGTTGTCAATGGTAATTCAAGTAAGATTTTTCAATAAAATATTTTATTTTCATTTACCTTTTAATTTGAATTGATAAGTATACAGTTTACTCAGTCACATATGTAACTCTTGTAATACATTTTATAATTTATACATTTTTATCTTTTTGTCATATTACATTTTTTGTTACTATTTTTGTATAAATAAAAAAAATAAAAAACTTTAACATAAAGAAATATTATAACATAAATATTAGTAATTAATTACTCATATTCATGTAATAGTAACATGTATACTATAAAGCTCTAGTTTTTTTAATTAACTAAATTAAAAACATTTTTGAATAAAAAAAAGTTTTAGGGGTTGCTCCTTAACATCAAATGGGTATTTTGAAAAAAAAAGATCTTTAAAAGTAGATCATGTTGGGTCTCAAAAGAAGTGAAATTTTATAAAAATTTCAAAAATAATTTTATATAAAGATAAATACTTTAAATTTTATGGCTTAAAAACTATCATTTTTTAACAAAAAATAAAAAGTACCGATTTTCAAGGTTTTTTTTTAAATAAACTTTTTTAATTTGCATTTCCATAAATTATTTTCATTATTTTTGAAATTTTTATAAAATTTCACTCCTTTTGAGACCCAACATGAAATTTATAAAATTTCACTTCTTTTGAGACCCAACATGAAATTTATAAAATTTCACTTCTTTTGAAACACAACATAATATACTTTTGTAGAACTTTTTTTTTCAAGTATTAGTGACCTGTTTGATGTTTAAGGGTCTTGAGCGACCCCTAAAAATTTTTTTTTTACTCAAAATTTTTATTAATTTAGTGTTAACTTATTACATAGAACACATTTAAGTGATAGCAGCAGGCAACTTAAAGAATAAATTGTTTTTAGAGGCACTCTAATATATGTATATATGTATATATATATATATATATATATATATATATATATATATATATATATATATATATATATATATATATATATATATATACATTTATTTATTTATAATATATATATATATATATATATATATATATATATATATATATATATATATATATATATATATATATATATATATATATAATATATATATATATATATGTATATATATATTTATATATTTATATGTATATATTTATATTTATATGTATGTATATGTATATATATGAATATATATATATATATGAATATATATATATATATATATATATATATATATATATATATATATATATATATATATATATATATATATATATATATATATATATATATATATATATATATATATATATATATATATATATATATATATATATATATATAAATATATATATATTTAAATCAGTACTCTGTCAGATTATTATTATTTCAAATTAGTAATAATATTATTATTGTATTATAATATATATACACAAAAGAATGTCCTATCATACTCTGAGTTTTAAAATAATAAATAGAAAACTATATTTGTATAAGGCATGCTATTGCAAAAATCTGCCCACCTTTCTTGATCAAAAAAGGATGTAAGAAAGCTTAAATGTATTTAAATCTATATATTTCTGAAAAATTAAGACTGTAAAGATTACATATTAATAGGGAAAAAACAAAAAAAAAAATTAAGTTTTACAGAAAATTCTGACTTTCTTTTTAATGCCTCCCATAAGTTTCTGGACAGAGTGATTTTTGTAAGTTTTAGCAGCGTAATCCCATTTTTTCTTCAAATCTGTAGCAGATTTTACTATTTTTCCACTTAATTTTAATTTATTTTTTATGATGGCCCAATATTTTTCAATAGGACGTAATTCGGGGCAGTTTGGAGTATTCATCTTTTTCGGAACCAACATTACTCCATTATCATCATAAAACTTTATGATAATATATAAATTAGGCTCCAGATACTTCTGGAGAATCTTTAACAGTATCTATAATATGGGCAAATCTGTTATTCCTCCTCACTTGCATGTATCTGATTTTGTTACCTCACCCAACCCTCAGAATATGGAAAAATGAGGTTGGCAAAAAATTGCTGACCTCATTTTTCATTGACATCAAAAACTTATAGCTTGGCAATTAATTTATCATTGTCGAATGCCGACTCTAATTTCGAGTGTTGTCTTACCTAAAGGCAAAACTGAATTGTTTGCTTAAAACTTTCCATCTATGTCATTTCTTGATTCCACTATATATATATATATATATCACATTCTCATAGCTGACAAACAGGTTGATTCTTTGCCTGACATTCATATTACTCCAGCTTCTGTATCTAAAGTGATTTCCTGCTTAGACTCTTCTACAGCTTGTGGTCTGGACAAAATACCTGTTATAGTCTGTTATAGCAGTGGTAGCAAAGTAGCAATTTAGTGGTAGCAAATTTTTTATTTGTAATAAGTTATAGCAGAAATTTTCTTTGTAGCTAGCGTCTATACTTTCAATACTATTTAACAAATGCTTATCAGAGTTTTGTTTTCTAGTCTGCTGAAAAGCAGCATCTGTTATCTCTGTTATCATCTGTTATCTCTGTTATCATCTGTTATCTCTGAAAGCTGTTATCTCTGTTTTCAAAAAATCAGGAGAGCAATCTGATTTATCTAACTTCCATCTCATTATTCTTTTTCCTATTGTAAGCAAGGTTTTTAGGTCTTTTATTTACAAACACTTAATCCCTTAATTTTTTTTGACAACCAATTTTTATGGGGAGTGGCTAATGAGTGGCATAGAGGTCATATTTATATCAAAAATTTAAAAAAAAATTTTTCTTGATAGAAGAACTCGCACCGATTGTTTGAAGTTATGCTTTTTATGATTTTTGACTAAATTTAGAGCAATTTCCAAGCATTGGCCTGAATAGATTTTGATGTCAAATTCAGTTAATTTAATAAAATCAGTCAACAATATTTTTAAATGTGTTCTTGTACCAAAAAAAGCACTGTGCTTATTATTTTAAGAAATATGTTGTACCTATCTTTTACAGAATACCATAAATAAATTAAGCTATTTTAAAGTGATTGTTGATCTTTGAGTTTTTTCCGGTCTTACGACTATAATTTTTACCTTTTTTTGATATCAAATGATGTTTTTTTTTTGATATCAAATGATGTTTTTTTTTTATATCAAATGATGTTTTTTTAAAAACTGTTATTGGAGCCTTGGATCAAACAAATCCAAACCCAAAATGTTTTTTTTTAAAAATTGGGTAAAGGACTTTAATCTTTTGTTGTAAACTAAACTAGATCAAAACGCTTCAATGTGATTCAAAAGATACAAATTTGAATGTATAAAAATATATAAGAGTATACTTATTTAATTTTAACAAGATAAAATTAAAGTGCTATTTCTATTGATTTCATTTTTATTATATTTCTACTGATTTTAAGAAAAGTCTGTCATTGGAAAAAAAATTTGTTTAGAGTTATTTTCTTTGTATTTTACATCTGATTTTAAACCATTTTGTAAACCATTGTTTTTAAACAAATTGTTACTTTATGATATAAATTATTTTTAAATAATAAGACTAAAATATCAAAACAAAGCAAATTAAGTTTTACTTGAAAAATTGCAGAATCAGAAAAGTTGCAGGTCAAAAACTGCGATGCCCTGAAGGGAGAAATGTAGTCAGCCTTTTTATTGACCTCTTTGAGTATTTTATTACTCAGAATAAAGACCTGCCTGAATTTAGAGAAATGCAACTTGAATTTCATGAAATTCAAGGCTTAAGAAACATCTTTATATTTGTTAATTTTTGTTAATTAAGTGTCTTAATTTTTTTCTGCAAGCTCACAATAATCTCTGCACTTTCCAAAAGTCTAAATGTAAATAATATAAAAATTAGTTTTTTAAACATTTGTTTTTTCTAAAAAGTAATTTAAAGTGAAGTAGTTTTTCTTTACTTTACTATTTTTTAACCTTTTATAGTTTTATGATATATAAATAGTTAAAATAGTTTATTCGCCGGTTTTAAAGTTTTATTTACGGCTATGACTAAATGACCATCGACGATCATCCTGATCATCCTGATTTCATATCATGAAGCTCTTTTATGGCTTTTTATGGGTTCTATTATGGACTTGAAGTAGGTGAACCTTATGAAATCAAAAGCATCTAACAAATTTCTAATTGCTGTGCATTGGGCCTCAAGGTTATTGTGTTTAAAAACCACGTTTTTTTAATTTCATAATGAATTTGTACGTTTTTAAAATACCACCAGTTAACAAAATTAAGAGTAATAAAAATGTGCACAATCGAGATAAAAAACCTTCCATTGTTTGTGATGACATTGTTATATAGTTAATGATTTGTAAAATTTTATTTGTTCCGATTGTTTGAAAATGCCCTTAAAAATTCAAAAAATGTAAAAATATTAAACTTTAAAAGAGTGATGCAAGTATAAATAGTCATCCAAAATACAAAATAAAAAAATTATATTAAAAAAACAATTCCATGGGAATATTTTATGACATTCCGTGTTTTAAAATTTGTTCATGGGCGTCAAAATGGGATGGGCTACTCTCTACTTATGGTGTATCAGGTAACATCTATAAGACTATTGAACTAATTTTTATCAATCGTAATATAAAATTTGTCCTTAATGGACAACACTCTTCTTTATATCCCAAAGCTTCAGGGGTTCCTCAAGGTTTTATCTTTTCCCTATACTTTTTTAATTTAACAACCTCCCAGAAATTCTCACATCTAAGGTGGCATTTTTTGCTGATGATACTACTGTTTACTCTTGTTTTGATAAGAAGCCAACAAAAGGAAAATGATCTCACTGTTGTTACAGCATGGAGTTCTCAGTAGCTTGTGAAATTTAAATCAAATAAAACTTAATTTTTTTCAGCTAATGGTTATTGCCATCATTTATATCTTCCTATTTTTATGAACTCGATGAGTCAACTACTCCTCATCTTTTAGGGTTAACTCTTCCAAACGTTTTTGGAAACCAAATATATTTTCTCTTCCAGTAACTTTCAACTTCTAAAATACATTTTAATGATAAACTTGCTGTTAAGATA